TGTGTATAAGAGACAGATATATATATATATAAAGAAAAAACAGGAAACGGAGTATACTTTTTTCTTATATAATATATCTGCATAAATTCTTGTGTTTCTAAATTCAAAATTATACGTACCATTACATTTTATATTATATTGTTATATAATAGATGCCACTAATTACAAGCTGATGCCACTTTGCACCTAATTATATATTTAAACACTATGGAAGTGCTCCTGCGTTAGTCTTCTTCAGATTTACGTACACTATTGTATCGCTTTTATCACTTTTAAATGTGTGAGCTCTGGAGAAATATTTGTTAAATATATTAGTGTTTTAAAACATTACATGTGTTGCCACCTTTATTCATGTTCATATATTAATTATAAGAAATAGTCCTAGATAAATGAATGGATGATGATAGATAATTGGATGGTTGATGCATGGATGGATAGTGAAGGGACGAATTGTTAAGTCTGAAAGTAAGATTGTTTACGACGTAGTTAGGTTTATAAAAGATATCTAGCACATTTAAGAAGAAAAAATGGAATAATATTCTGTATAAATAAATCCTCTAATGAATCAGCTGCTTACTGTTGAATGAGTGTAGGCCTAAGCCTACAATAGCGACTGAAACCCAAGTGCCGTATATTAAACACAGTCTGTAAAAGCACAAAATAATAAGAAAAGATGTATTGTAAAATGCGGCGAATAATTTTTTGCAGAATTCTTTTTATTCATTTTATGGATGTAAAGTTCTTAAAACTGCAAAATGAACATTTTAAAATTTTAAATTATACAAAGCTATACTACCTAAAGTATAATTCAGATTATATGAGCTTTCCTGCAAGCGAAATATAATTAGATTTATTTACAAATCTATACACCTTTTTTTGTTAGATTTGATTGGGAATTGTCTTGAAATGATGGTATACAGCATGAATAAATAGTTTTAAAATATTCTGATTTGAAATTTAATTGTGATTTAATTTCAGATGGTGTAACCTTTATACCGGCTGATGCTAGTTATGACGATGCTAGCGCGGTATGTGCTAATCAGTTAGGCTCCCTCGCATCGTATGAACAGTTGTACTACGCTTTTCAACCTCGCCTGGATAACTGCAATGAGGGCTGGCTTATCAGTGGTGAGATTGCTTTCACTGAAATTTCGGATGACAGTTGCACCTTGAAATCACCAGATCAACGAAGCAATGTTATTCCATGTGATTCGTATCACAGTGGGTGCTATTGTTATAGAGAATACAATACATCTTTAGAAAATGTTGACTATTTTCCATACACCCAGCGAATAGTTAGACTCACAAAGAGCAAGTCAGAGAAGTTGAGTGCCAATGAATCTGAGGTGTGTTGCAGTAACTGTTTCGGTGGCCGACTGGCGACTCCACTTGAAGTTTACAATGCTTCGTACTCGCTAGGTGTTGATTTTTGCATAAAAGGCTGGTATTTGGGATGGTTGGCTGGAAATCCGTGTACTGGATCAAACTCCCCTTCTGAATTCTGGTTTTATCCGACAGGGAATGCGATTAAATTGATTGACCCAATGATTAAATACTTTTCCTTTTGTTACATTCCTCTCCCAAACCATAGCATCACTTCGCCCGATCCATTTCCCCCCCATCGAGTAATGAGTGTGTGTGGTGACTTTAATTATCCTTATACCCTTACTTACCAGGAAGCTGAGCTCAGTTGCATAGGCTACGGGGGAACATTGGCAAACAGAACACAGGTAGAAAATGCACAGCGTTTAGGATACGACTGCTGTAGTGCTGGTTGGGTGCAAAGTGGAGAGGTAATTTACCCTATAACACATCAGAGAAGTTACTGCTTCAACAGCAATAACGACCCTGTTAAAAGTTGGGGTTATAAAAATCGTAACCATGCATTTTGTGGTTTTTGTTACATTTAGTATTTGACCACTTCGCACATAAGTTAGGCGCAATTGACGAATGGGGTTGGGGTAGGCGGCAAGTGAGATAACAGAGAGCAAAAACTTCGTCGATATTTTCACATAAACCTCATAACTTTATAAACATTTGAAATAAAAACTTAGCATAGATGTACAGGAAATTATGATGAATTAACAATGTCATTACATAGGCCTGCATGTTATATCCAAATTACAGGAAATTAGGTTTATATTACCAACGTAAAAGAATTAGCCTAAAAAAGTTGATTTATAATGTTTTACGTTGATTGTTGAAAAATCTTAGTTATTACAATCTATATAAACATGCATTAGGAACACGACTTTCCAAAGACAGGATCATAATGTAATTGTGAAGTTATATTACAGTGGGTTTGGTTGGAAGTGAATAACATTAGCCTAGTTTGAATAAATAGACACTTTGCTCTGCACATTTACTTATACACAATAAGACACACACTTTAATGATATTAAAGGAAATTTTTGAAAGCCGAAAATCCATAGTCTGTCTAGCAGAAATACTAGAATGGTGTCCGTCCGGCATATGATGTTTTTTTTTTTTAATTTTTTTTAATTTTTTTACGAACGTTTGGTTAGGTCTTGTAGTTAAGTTAAACACTTTCAAAATATTACACCTACACGTAGACTCAGAAGTATAACGAGATGGTGTCCGGCGGGGGAAAATAGTCTCAGTAATTGTAATTTTTTTCAGTTCAGTTTCTTTATTCACTTTTAAATCACAGCCAAGGCTGAATTATAAGATATTTACAAACATTTGTCCTCCTTGTAATTCCGTTCCAAATATTGATTCGGAAATGCCGGTTTGGTGTCTTGTGGGGTATAGCTCTTACCATAATTTAGTTAAGTGATTGTAGCCCAACCTATTAATTCCTGACCCCGAAACCTAGACTCAGAAATAAGGGATTTGTGCCCTCGGGAGTCAGTTTTCCACCATTGTTTAACACTATAAAGCGCCTAGAGTGAGAAGTTCTTAATTTATTGCACTGGAATGATTCCATGATATTTAGGATGTTATTCATTTAGTAATTTGGAGAAAATTGATTGTGAAACCTAAGTGAGCGAGTCAATGGCCAAGCGGTTAAGGCAGGGCCGTACCGTAATCATAGCCAACAATATCGGTATTGGTTCGCGGCCGGCTCGCTCCTATAGTTCCGATGGTGGAACAAGTCTTTTCGGATAATAAAACCGTAGGCCCAGTGTACACAAATGCTCATTTGCACTTTAAAAGAACCCACCAGTATATTTTTCGAGACGAGTAAGGGGATTACCCCGGTGTACTGGTTCACTCGGCCCCTGTTTGAAAGCAAATGGACAGATTTGTAATACATTTTATTACACAGGTTTATAGGAAAGGAATACGGTAACCTTCCTCATGACATACAAATTATTGAAAATATAGTATATATATAGTAAAGTTAAGGGGTTTTTTTCCCTTTAAAATAAGTAATATAAGGTTTTGCAGTACTTTAGTTATTAAGATGCTGTTATTATAATTGTAGTTGTTTTATTGAGTATGTAATTGATTGAAATATTTGTATAATTAATTTAGATTAATTATACGGTATTAGAGTATATAGACCTCAATGAAAATAAGCCCACAAAGCCTTTTGGGTTACCCAGGAAAAGGTTTTTTTTTTTAATATACCTATTTAATTTACATAAATTATTTAAGTTGTGTCTTCATATTTTGTAGTATTTAAGTTATTTTCCGAATAAATTCAAATCAAATGAAATCAAATTAAATTATAACACACCTAGATATATCCTTTATTTGATTGATGGATTTCATATAACGTGACATTGATTATTTACACCATTTCGTCACTCATTGAAATTTTGTTCCATTCGTTTCCTCTCATTGCATGCCTCCACCTAATGCAATGTATTCATGGGTTGGAAGAAAATTGACTGTTTCATTCTAAAGAAAGGTACTTAATTACCAAATTATTGCAAGGCGTTTTTGTTAAAACTTGTACTGATAGGAAAAAAGGAAGGTCATTTTTTTTAAAAATAAAATATATAGTATATAGTAGGAGTTGTAAGTTTGATTGTTCCATTCAACTCATGACAATATTCTTCTTATTACACTCATGAACATTCATTACATTTATACCACTTTGTTAAATTGTGTATGTTTTTATTGTAGTTATTTTATCAATGTTTGATAATCGATACAATTATTTGTATCGTTTTGAAAAAGTTCATGCATGTTTACACTTGCTATATACAGTATTATAAACTACTTAATTATTGTAGAGGAGCGTTTACGTCGCGGCCCATGTCAGGTATCCATCTTACCTGCGAATCCTTCTACCACACTACGTGAGCAAGATCATACACACTAGCTACATAGTGACTCGATAAGAAAGAAGATAACAGCATGTAGGCCTAAAGATAGATTGCTACCTGTGTTCAACAATAGTTAAGACTAGTATTGGCTTGTTTTATGAAAATAAATTTAATATGAATTAAAAAATAATACTTTGTTGTTTTTCTATGTATTTTTTCTTTACGAAGGATATACTTAACAGCAATGTACTGTACACTAATACTTGGAAAAGTATTTTTGTAAAATCTACTACACGATCTTTTGAGCCGCACGTGACGGTTAGAGCTGTTGGTGGCGCTGTTTTAGATTGAATGAAAGGATCGAATCACAGCCCTGAATCATGTACACCAATAGAGTAGCATTGTCACCAATTGTTATGTCTCTTCCATCAACTTACAATACGCTATTCACATGGCTCAGTTTATGAAATCAAATTAAATCAGATAATAATTATTTAATTGTACAGAGGATTGTGCATTATTCATTCTTTTAAATTGCAATATATCAGGCCAAGATCCCGGAATTAAAAAAAAAATATTTATCATAATTACACTATCATATTGAGTAAGGACAAAATGTTTGTGCCGATTAACCGTCCAGACGCTTGCACAGCCCAGAAGAGATATATCGTAGTTACCATTCTTTTAAATGTCTTTGGCATATTTTGAGTTCGTATTTATGTCTATTAAAATATCATAAAAAATAATTTTACAATAACACGGGTTTACAAAATATTGGACGGGGACGTGTCACACAACAAAAGCAACACATGTAAGAATTCATTATTCAAATTACGTTAGTAGGGCCTACAGTATGAAAGGAGCAGCATATACCGTACTCGCGCCAATAAGCCGCCCGTTTGAATTGAATAAGCACCCCCTAGGTGTTTATTTATTTTTTTAAAACAATATATCTTGTGATTGATTTTTTTAGCAAACGATAATCTAACTAATCCTGAGACTGTGGTTGGCATGATTTGAGCTGCGGAGTGGATTCACATTTTCTTCTTAGGCCTATGTCAATTTCAAAATTAGGATATTTTATCCTGGACTGATGAGAGCTCCCTGGAGTATATTTCCAAATTTCCTCTTCTTACATTTGTCTCTCTTTTTCTTTTCCCCACAATTTGCACCTTTAGCATGTTTTCATGTGAGTTTTCAAGAAGCGTGCAATGATCCTGCTAATCTCAATCGGCAGATGGCCAACAGGCTTAGGGGCCTACACCACCACCACCACCACCACCACTAATTTTATCTGCTGTTAAAACTAATTTTTTTCACTCAAGAATCGCACATTGAATTTCCCAGAAGAACCCCTCAATTTTTTTCATATAGGCCTATTTCCATAAGCACCCCCTCAATTTCCACTCTGTTTTCATAAGCGCCCCGTTTGATTAAGCGCCCCTCAAAAAGAAGGGCTAAAAATATTTTAAGCGACCGGGCGCTTATTCGCGCGAGTACCGGGTATTTAGTATGCAGTATGTGAGTGGAACGTACCACTTCAATGGGTGCGGCTGATACAAACGCGTATGTTCTCTAAATATAATGGAATAAAATATATTATTAAATGAATATGTTAATCACTAAAATAAGTCAATAGGCCTACATGACAAATAAGGAATGTATATACACCATCATAACATTTTCATTTATGTACGGTATTGTACAATCAGATGTGTATAAGAGACAGGTCCAGACGCTTGCACAGCCCAGAAGAGATATATCGTAGTTACCATTCTTTTAAATGTCTTTGGCATATTTTGAGTTCGTATTTATGTCTATTAAAATATCATAAAAAATAATTTTACAATAACACGGGTTTACAAAATATTGGACGGGGACGTGTCACACAACAAAAGCAACACATGTAAGAATTCATTATTCAAATTACGTTAGTAGGGCCTACTCGCAGCGTTTGGCCGACTGGGCTTCACAGAATTATTATTTAAATGATACTTCTGGGCGGATCCATATGGGATGATTGTCGTCGCCATCCGGACCCTCTACCACCCTTGTTAGAGTGCTTTTATTAACAAAAAAAATTGTACAGATAATCTGAGTCTGAAACTTTTTTTCTTCTTTATGAGTGGGGTCATTTATGAGAATAATATTAGGCCTACTGTTGGCTTTTAAAATATGGGAGGGTGAAAGACGGTTTCTCTAAGTCATTTAAACTTATGTTAATTATACAGGAGTTCTGAGCCCTTCCTGCTCTGTATCTGGACCCGCCCAAATACATCACAGCATCGGGAAAGCCCGTCTATATAATGAATGTTCACTAAATATACCGGTAATGGAATAAATTATATTAAAAAGTGACCATGTTAATCACTAAAATAATTCAATATGCGACGAATAAGGAATGTCACATTCATCTAAATGTTTTAGCATGTATGGTATAATTATGGGAATAAAATTGTACTCCATAGTATAATCCATTTTTACTGTATTATTCTTTAGGAGTAGATCTTACCTGCTTCTCTTAACATTATAATCAAAATTATTAGTAAAGTTCTTTATTTAAAGGGTAACTTGTCTTTCATTTGCGAAGGTCTTTCTAAAATGTGGCAGTATTCAGTATTATGGTTTACAGTGGCAGATTCAAGGCGGGGATTGGGTGGGTAGAAGAATTTAAAAAATAAATTAAGAAAAAAAGAAAATTCTAGTAGAATTTTGAGTTAAGAGTGCCATTTCCGGCCATCTAGAGGTGCCATAATCACATCTTTCTTTTCAGCCCCAACCATACTGGGCCTGAGGTAGTATAGCTCCATCTGTGACATTGTCTCTCTGGCCCCCCTCTATTTCGAATTCCTGGATTCGCCTCTGGTTTAGAATATTAATCTTGTATGGCAATACTTGTAGTAGGCCCTATTTTGCCGACTTGGCTTCGCAGACTAATTATCTAATGATAGTTGGGCGGATCAAGAGGGGGTGACGTTCAACGAAGGTCTCTAAAAAGATGGAACGACGGTAACATGACAGAAGACGGTCATTTAGTACAAGAGTGCCAATTACTTTATTTCTGTATTCCTCCCGCCAAAATTATGTGGAACCGCCCCAAGTACTCATAGCCACGCAAACCGGGCCGCCGAAGGCGGCCTTTTTGCGAGTCATCATCATAATTAATGGGAGTAAAGAATAAATATTTGTGCCGATTTACCGTCTAGACGCGTATACAGATCTGGAAGAAATATAGCCTAGTATCGTAGCACCATTCTGTTAAATGTCTTATCATTATTGGCATATTTTGAGTTCATCTTTATGTCTATTAAAATATCATGAAAAAAGAACAATTTTCATGATAACACGAGTCTACAAAATATTGGACGAGGACTTTTGTCGCGTTAAAGCAACACATAGAGTTAAAGACGAAGCAGTATTCACTACTCTATATCCGCCCCTGTAGAGTGCATTTTAGCTGGCTAAAAAGTGTAAATAGTTTTTCTTCCTTAGGGGTGGGGAGGGTCATTCATGATAATAATGTATGTGTGGGTGACAATTAAAAAGACGGTTCCCCAAGTCATTTAAACTCATTTCATTCATTTTTTCATTAACACATATTTAATTCATCCTGCAAATAATCTGGACCCGCCCCAGTACCTCAAAATCCTCGCAAAACGCATTTTAATCACATCTGCTGTTATTTCATTGTGAAAAGGTCCAAAAAATTATGATCACGACCCACCCATCAGTGGCGTCGAGAGCCAGTAAGGGCCCCGGGGCAACACATCACATCCCTCCCCCCTTCGACCCCACTCGGCCGCTCCCCAAATTAAGTCTCCTCCTAAGACCTTATTTGTCCATACCCACATACATGCATATGATTCCATGTGAACAAAATTTTTCATCCTGGCTTGGGCTCGGGCCCTATGGAGATTTTGTTCTTACCCCGAAAATGTTTCATCTTGGTCCGGGCCCCCCAGTAGGGATTGGGG